GCGTCCGCATACATATTAATCTACAAACGCGTGGCCGGGTGGGGGAGTGGTCCAGAACAGGTATAGACTCCCTTTAACAAGCTGTCTGAATTTGCCAGAGGAAACACACATCCATGCCCAGTTTCCCACCGTAATACCCATGTGCCTATGCACACGCACACACGCTCACACACGCGCTTACATGCAAACTCCAAACACACCTGCCTCATTACACGTTCACATTTCATATCCGACCAAGGATGCATTTATTTAATTAAAAATACAGTAAAAAGAGTAATATTGTGAAATATGATTATTATTTAAAATAACTGTTTTCTGTTTAAATTTGTTTTTAAACAAATTGAATTTTCAGCATCATTACTCCAGTCTTCAGTGTCACATGATCCTTCAGAAATCATTCTAATATGCTTTTTTGCTCAAGAAACATTTTTAATTATCAATGTGTTGCTTAATATGTTCATGGACACCATTAGATTGTTTCAAGATTCTTTGATGAATAGAAAGTCAAAAACAGTATTTTTACAAAAAATAAAATTAAAAAAAGATATTACAAGTATCATTATAAACATCTTTACTGATGATTTTGGTCAATTTAATGTATCCTTGCTGAATAAAAGTATTCATTTCTTTAATGTTTATATATTTTTTAAAAAAATCATACTTTTGTTAGTGTATCAGTTATTTGTTATTCCGGAATTTAAAAAAAGTTGATACGTTTATTTAACATTGCTTTTTGGTTGATGTCATGTTGTTTTTGTTATGTTGTAGATTGTTATATAGTTTTTGGTAGGGGTTAAAATGAACCCCAACACTCTCAAAAAGCAACAAATGATATACATTATAATTATATTTGCTAGAAACAAAGTAATACTCAGTAAACTGATATGTTTAGTTGTGAAGCGTTAATTGTGATGCCAGGAAGATCTTTAGTGTGTTTCTATTAGGAATTTTGTGTGGTTACGGAGTCTCATCGCTTAGTAAAAGACAAGTTACATCACAAACGGTGCAGGACACATTTGTGCCAGAGTTGAGTGTTCAGGATTTGGAGTTTGTTCAGTTCACTAACACAAAGTATGAGCAATAAAGTGAAGAATGCCTAAGGGAAAACCTTCCAGAGATCCTATAGGTCAAGCCTATTAAGTTTAACAATTCAAAGCAAATCATGATTATAATAGCAAATATGTCTTTGCTCTCACAAGTGCAGTTGCTTATGAATATTTGCATGCTAAATGAGTCATTAGATGGCTCCTTTTAAGAAATGGGTGTGTGAATGATCAACACTTGCTGTTTAGGGATGGTAATAGTTTTAAATACCATGTCAAACAATGGTTTTTCATTTGAAACTTACTCAAGAAGTTGTCTACCATTGTAAAGACACTTTTGTCATGTTAAAAACACTGCCTGTGTGTGTGTGTGTGTCACCCAGTATCTTTGGCATGGTGTGTTCAGGGGTCCTTTGACTGTGTGTGCCGGGAAGATAAGGATTAGCATGAACATTGTTGGATGCAGTAGCTGTGTGTGTGTGTGTGTGTGTGTGTGTGTGTGTGTGTGTGTGGTTGCATGCTGATAACAGTGTTGATTGGACTCCATAGGCTGGAGTCTGTGCTCTAATAATGGACAGTCTCTCCTTTGTGTGTTTGAGTTTTGATGATCTGGCCCCCTGCTCATCTGCGCTTTGTCTGTGCCCAATAGCGCGGCCTCTCTCATTCACTCGCGTCCAGTTCTGCATAGTGAGCTTCACTAATGTGCCATGTAATTGGATTGGAGGTCATCCGAGACGTCTCCTTAAAGGGTTAGTTCACCCAAAAATGAAAATTCTGTCATTAATTACTCACCCTCGTGTCGTTTCAACCCCGTAAGACCTTCATTCATCTTCGGAACACAAATTAGGATATTTTTGATGGAATCTGAGAGCTGTCTGACCCTCCCATAAACAGCAACGTAACTGAAATGTTCCCAAGTCCAGAAACCCATCACCCTGTAGCGCCATTTTGGAGAGTATCCGCTGGACGTAAACAGCATATGCTGCTCTGTGTCAGCTGTGCCAAAATGGCGCTACAGGGTGATGCGGAGGAGACGAATTGTTGAATAAAGTCGTTTTTTTTTTCTTTTGCGCACAAAAAGTATTCTCGTAGCTTCGTATAATTGTGGTTGAACTACTGATGTCACATGGATTATTTTACCGATCTCCTTGCTACGTTTCTGGACTTGGGAACATTTCAGTTACGTTGCTGTCTATGGGAGGGTCAGACAGCTCTCAGATTCCATCAAAAATATCCTAATTTGTGTTCCGAAGATGAACGAAGGTCTTACGGGTTTGAAACGACATGAGGGTGAAATTTTCATTTTTGGGTGAACTAACCCTTTAAGCTGCACTTCATACTTCCACACCACCAGTGGGCGCTTATCAATACGGATTGTAGCTATTTTGAATTCACAGAATCCATCGGTAACCCGGGTATTTAAATGAACTAAATGGAATAGTGATTCTGATTAGAATTGTATTTACAGTCTAGAATGCCATACAATTTGACCAATAGTGGCCTTCATGTGGCTGCCAGATTGCAATTTGAAGAGTTTATTTGTCACATAATTTGTCGTAGAATAACTATTCTCCTTTAATCTAATTGAATTGCAGGTATTTGTTACTTATAAAATGTACCGTGGTAATGCCAGGGTTATTATAGGTAACTAAAACAAAAATTTTTTTTTTAATTAAAGTCATATTTAGTTACTTGAAATAAAATAAACATTAAGTGAAATTTTTTTTATTATATATAAAATAAAAATGACAAATCACATAACAAAATTACTAAAAATTCAACTAAAATAAAAATGAAAATGAATTAATTTACTGGAAAAAAAATAAAAGAAATAAAATTTTAAAATAAATGAAAAAGTTTTTTTTTTTTTTTACAAATATACAAATGCAAATATTTATTTATTTGTATTATGTATTATTATCTGTTTATTCATTTTTATTAATTTTTAGGAGCTAATCAGATTTTTAGGTGGACTGAGGTGAAAGACCGGGAGCGAAGCCCCTTTAAATCATTAAACAATGTGTTACCATCATGGTACCACTATAGTAGTTTTTGTAAGGAATATAATATATAACACTTAGAATGAGATTGCACGAGTTGATTATAGTGTTTTACATCCAGTTGAGTCGATTAAAGCACATTTACTTACATATCAGCTCACAGTATCAGTACGTGTGCATCTGTGAACAAAACGCGGCGGCAGTCGATATTTTCCCTCCTCAATTAGCGTTTAGCACAAGTAGCTGAAAATAACCTTCATTTGCGAGGCTTTTAGCGTATAGCGCATTGGTGGAGAGGTTTTCTCTCTGAGAGGAGTGCGTCTGTGTGTGGGTGCTTTTGTAAGCTAGCTGGAATGCTCTGGTACCGCCAATGCTAAGATGGCTGCCAAGCGCTAAGATGGCTGCCAGGATTCCATACAACAACAGCAGCAAGCGAATGAGGGGGTGCGAGAGAGAGAAAAGAAGGAAAGAGGGGGCTGTCATGTTCATTTTTTCCTTCAAAACGTATACTGTTGGTTTTTTAAACCACATTCTGCTGCTGCACATAATTAGCGGTGCATGCTAAGGCCAAACACCACTACTGCTAAATTTCGAGGCAAATCTACAGACCAGAATATCATAGAAGGGTAGGCTCTTTTTACTTGGGCTAGCAAGCGACTATCCAGAACCCTCCTAGCAACTAGCAAACATGCTAAAAACACTAAGTATGATTGGCTAAAGAGGTGAAACATTCATCAATACTCACAGCAGAAAACACGGAAAGGCCAAAGTAACCAAGTGACATCCGTCTTAAGGTCTATAGTTAGTCAAAACCTCAGTGCATATAGAAAAAAGGGGGTAGTGAGTCTCGGCCAATTCAAACTGCCGCAGGGGTCTGGTCTCACTCCAAGATCGCTATACTTTCTAAGATAAAAAGCCTACGGAGACATTGTCCAAACAACTCGATGGCTGCGCACCAGCCTTTGTCTACATCTTATGAGCTATACAGCAGAGTTGGGTTTCACCAGGCTGCTCTCGGATGTATATTTTGCAGATTTATAGATTTTAGATTAGAAGCGCACCTTCAAGCCTAAAATGGACAGCGGTGTGGGTAGTTTGTTTCGGCTGTGTTTTTCATTGGACCCGACTGACCAAGTCCAGTTGTGTTTTTTAACACACCTGGGGTCTACATTGCCGGACTAAAGATCTTGTTTCATGGCCGAAAGACTGTTTTGTGGTTTTATGTCTATATATAGATATTGTTATATAAAAATAATAGAGTATAATCTTTGTTTATCGACCTCGGCAGAATTTGATTCTGAAATACATGTAATCTGAGGAGTTACTAAAGTCTTTGGTGTTTAATACTTAAGGCTACACATTTGTTCACTAACCAACTCAAAGTATGAGCAGTAGTAATGGTAATCTGTGTTGTCAAACCTACACTTTTTTTATTAATAATACTTTAATTCAGCAAGGATGCATTCATTTGATCAAAAGTGACCAAAAAATATATAATAATAAAAATAAAAAATCCTTCCATTGCCAGACTTTTGAATGATAATGTATAACAAGTCAAATACATGCTAACTACAAGACAGAACATCAGATTTCACGTATAAAGGTTTTATAAAAATAAAAAATCCTTCCATTGCCAGACTTTTGAATGATAATGTATAACAAGTCAAATACATGCTAACTACAAGACAGAACATCAGATTTCACGTATAAAGGTCCAGATTTTGTCTGAATATCATGTAAATGATCCAGAACCGAAGCACATTTTGCATGTCTCATTTCCAGCTGTGTCGTCTCAGCGCTACATTGAATATGTGCTGGCCGAGAATATATAGAATGTTCTACATCTGCTAATTGATTCAGGCACCTTTGGACTGAACCCAGCCGTCCCATGTTTAATCTGCTCTCTTTTTTTCCCCTCCTTTTTTTCTCTCTCTCTCTCTTTCTGTCGGCTTTGCAGAATCTGGACAATCGGACAACTCCAACCAACAAGGAGAAGCAGACATCAAGCCTCCGCCCAATGGTGGGTCAAGCATAACAAAAATCGCGCGCACACACACACACACACACTCAAAGGTTCCAAAAGGATTTTACAGCCTGATGCCATTCAACCCAGAAATTAAAGTCTTAATTTACTCAAATACATTTGAAGTTAATATAAAGTTGTCTGGAGGAACCAAAAATGAGTTCTTGGTTCCCCAAAGAACTGTTCAGTTAAATATTCGTAAAAAAAAAAAAAAAACATTTATAAAAATTCAACTTCCATTTTGTCAGACAAACTCCGTTTTGGAAGTATCTCTATGTAACCTTTTCAGGTTGCTAAATAAACTGAAACACAAGTTTCACTAGCTTAATGAACTTGGATCCATAAGTGAAAATACAATCGTTTTGAGTTTGTAGAACTTGAAATTACGTTTGTTGAAAGTACAATCCAACTTTTTTTCTCCATAAAGTCCTCAAGTTTTTGAGTTTACTGTGTGTGTTTTTTAAGGAACATTTTAACCATCTAAAGAATCCTTTTCCACTCCAAAGAAGACGTTTTCTCAAATGAAAAGGTTCTTTATGGAACTATAGTGCATAAAGAACCTTTAATTTTAAGAGTGTTCAAATCTTTCTAAACTCCAGACTTAAGTGTTAGCCTTTAATGTCAACCTTCTGCTAAACTACTTTTTTTAGATAGGCAGTCATGCAGGTTTGGAACAACATGATTCTATGGTTCCATGAAGAACTTTAAAAATCCATGGAACCATTTTGTTCCACAAAAGGTTCTTCAGATCATTCAAATATTTTTCACACTAAGAAAAAAATGGTTCTTTTAAGAACTGTTCACTGAATGGTTCTTACTAGAACTATAAATGGTTCTTCTGCGCTGCAAAGTCATTATTCATACTTTCTGGCGCCCACAAATGGTTCTTCTACAAGGTTTTTTCTTTGCCGAGCCTTAAAATTCAGCAAAAACGATTGAGAAGCCTTGGTTGTTCAAGAAGCAGTCCACTTAAACTCAATAGAATCACATCTGAAGTTGTCATTAAAGGCCACGAGCGCGTAAACTCTGGTTAGCAATGGTGGAAACGGCGTGATGAAATCCCAACGCTACACAATCAACGCATCAGCCACCATTTTCCACTCCGCCTGCCAGTCAGCAGATGGACTGTGGGTGAGCCGCGCTCTCCTTGGACCTCCATACGCACAAATACGAGCCGATTGATACCGTAAGCTGCTTTATTTACGTTAATAAGGTCACATGCACACCCGACTCTCGCACAAATATGGAGTGTGAGCGAAAGCGATTTCCATCCAAGCTTATTATAGTGAAGTGTTGCTAGGCCGGCTGTGATCTGTGTGTGGGTGCTTTTGTAAGCTAGCTGGAATGCTCTAGTACCGCAATGCTAAGATGGCTGCCAAGCGTTAAGATGGCTGCCAGGATTCCATACAACAGCAGCAGCAAGCGAACGAGGGGGTGCGAGAGAGAGAAAAGAAGGAAAGAGGGGGGCTATCGTGTTAATTTTTTCCTTCAAAATGTGTAGTGTAGGTTTTTAAAACCACATTCTGTTGCTGCACATAATTAGCGGTGCATGCTAAGGCCAAACACCACTACTGCTAAATTTCGAGGCAAATCTACAGACCAGAATATCATAGAAGGGTAGGCTCTTTTTACTTGGGCTAGCAAGCGACTATCCAGAACCCTCCTAGCAACTAGCAAACATGCTAAAAAACACTAAGTATGATTGGCTAAAGAGGTGAAACATTCATCAATACTCACAGCAGAAAACACGGAAAGGCCAAAGTAACCAAGTGACATCCGTCTTAAGGTCTATAGTTAGTCAAAACCTCAGTGCATATAGAAAAAAGGGGGTAGTGAGTCTCGGCCAATTCAAACTGCCGCAGGGGTCTGGTCTCACTCCAAGATCGCTATACTTTCTAAGATAAAAAGCCTACGGAGACATTGTCCAAACAACTCGATGGCTGCGCACCAGCCTTTGTCTACATCTTATGAGCTATACAGCAGAGTTGGGTTTCACCAGGCTGCTCTCGGATGTATATTTTGCAGATTTATAGATTTTAGATTAGAAGCGCACCTTCAAGCCTAAAATGGACAGCGGTGTGGGTAGTTTGTTTCGGCTGTGTTTTTCATTGGACCCGACTGACCAAGTCCAGTTGTGTTTTTTAACACACCTGGGGTCTACATTGCCGGACTAAAGATCTTGTTTCATGGCCGAAAGACTGTTTTGTGGTTTTATGTCTATATATAGATATTGTTATATAAAAATAATAGAGTATAATCTTTGTTTATCGACCTCGGCAGAATTTGATTCTGAAATCCATGTAATCTGAGGAGTTACTAAAGTCTTTGGTGTTTAATACTTAAGGCTACACATTTGTTCACTAACCAACTCAAAGTATGAGCAGTAGTAATGGTAATCTGTGTTGTCAAACCTACACTTTTTTTATTAATAATACTTTAATTCAGCAAGGATGCATTCATTTGATCAAAAGTGACCAAAAAATATATAATAATAAAAATAAAAAATCCTTCCATTGCCAGACTTTTGAATGATAATGTATAACAAGTCAAATACATGCTAACTACAAGACAGAACATCAGATTTCACGTATAAAGGTCCAGATTTTGTCTGAATATCATGTAAATGATCCAGAACCGAAGCACATTTTGCATGTCTCATTTCCAGCTGTGTCGTCTCAGCGCTACATTGAATATGTGCTGGCCGAGAATATATAGAATGTTCTACATCTGCTAATTGATTCAGGCACCTTTGGACTGAACCCAGCCGTCCCATGTTTAATCTGCTCTCTTTTTTTCCCCTCCTTTTTTTCTCTCTCTCTCTCTTTCTGTCGGCTTTGCAGAATCTGGACAATCGGACAACTCCAACCAACAAGGAGAAGCAGACATCAAGCCTCCGCCCAATGGTGGGTCAAGCATAACAAAAATCGCGCGCGCACACACACACTCAAAGGTTCCAAAAGGATTTTACAGCCTGATGCCATTCAACCCAGAAATTAAAGTCTTAATTTACTCAAATACATTTGAATTTAATATAAAGTTGTCTGGAGGAACCAAAAATGAGTTCTTGGTTCCCCAAAGAACTGTTCAGTTAAATATTCGTAAAAAAAAAAAAAACACATTATAAAAATTCAACTTCCATTTTGTCAGACAAACTCCGTTTTGGAAGTATCTCTATGTAACCTTTTCAGGTTGCTAAATAAACTGAAACACAAGTTTCACTAGCTTAATGAACTTGGATCCATAAGTGAAAATACAATCGTTTTGAGTTTGTAGAACTTGAAATTACGTTTGTTGAAAGTACAATCCAACTTTTTTTCTCCATAAAGTCCTCAAGTTTTTGAGTTTACTGTGTGTGTTTTTTAAGGAACATTTTAACCATCTAAAGAATCCTTTTCCACTCCAAAGAAGACGTTTTCTCAAATGAAAAGGTTCTTTATGGAACTATAGTGCATAAAGAACCTTTAATTTTAAGAGTGTTCAAATCTTTCTAAACTCCAGACTTAAGTGTTAGCCTTTAATGTCAACCTTCTGCTAAACTACTTTTTTTAGATAGGCAGTCATGCAGGTTTGGAACAACATGATTCTATGGTTCCATGAAGAACTTTAAAAATCCATGGAACCATTTTGTTCCACAAAAGGTTCTTCAGATCATTCAAATATTTTTCACACTAAGAAAAAAATGGTTCTTTTAAGAACTGTTCACTGAATGGTTCTTACTAGAACTATAAATGGTTCTTCTGCGCTGCAAAGTCATTATTCATACTTTCTGGCGCCCACAAATGGTTCTTCTACAAGGTTTTTTCTTTGCCGAGCCTTAAAATTCAGCAAAAACGATTGAGAAGCCTTGGTTGTTCAAGAAGCAGTCCACTTAAACTCAATAGAATCACATCTGAAGTTGTCATTAAAGGCCACGAGCGCGTAAACTCTGGTTAGCAATGGTGGAAACGGCGTGATGAAATCCCAACGCTACACAATCAACGCATCAGCCACCATTTTCCACTCCGCCTGCCAGTCAGCAGATGGACTGTGGGTGAGCCGCGCTCTCCTTGGACCTCCATACGCACAAATACGAGCCGATTGATACCGTAAGCTGCTTTATTTACGTTAATAAGGTCACATGCACACCCGACTCTCGCACAAATATGGAGTGTGAGCGAAAGCGATTTCCATCCAAGCTTATTATAGTGAAGTGTTGCTAGGCCGGCTGTGACGGAGAATGGCGGAACGCTCATAAATCACTCCGTGATTGGCTGATGGGAACCACATGGCTGCGGCGCAGGCGACACTGAGCTCATGCGCGGGCCTCGCTGCGGTTAACCGGCACACACACACATACGCTGACCTCAGCCAGCACTACAGATGGGTGTGGAAGCATGGCTCATTCACCCGTTTTGCCCACACACACAAAAGTACATATTGAAAGCCCATATGCACAGCGAAAGTAAATACGTTTGTATATTTGCATGCAGTGTCGCACACACATACTTAAGTGTGACATAAAGCATTTTTGGTGTCCTCGTTAAGTTTTAGCTGGGATTGGAGCACTGGGTTGGAGTTAACCATAAGTACGGGGTAGCCTGTTATTCCTACGAGACAGAGAACATATGCCAACCGATGACTGTAATTATATGCCTTTTTATGACAATTGAGCCCAGTTTATTTTGTGTGTGCGTGTGTTTGACAGGTGCAGATGAGTAAATATGGGGATTTTTTTTTCAGTATAATTTGTCGGTGTAGTGTTTTCATTTCTGGCCTCTCTCTCTTTCTCTCCAGGTCACTTGAGTTTCCAGGACTGCTTCGTGACGTCAGGCGTATGGAACGTGGCGGAGTTGGTCCGTGTGTCACAGAGTAAGTCACATGAGCAGCGTCTTTCTGATCAGCAGCCGTAAATATCAACATTGTATTGAAACGAAAAAGGCTTTTCTTATTATTATAAATCCTTAAAATCATCCAAACAGTTACATACAAATAAAAAGCCCCCCAAAAAACCTGCAAATAAGGCAATATATTAATATTGCTGAATTTTCAGCATCGTTATTCCGGTCTTCAGTGTCTTATTTATTAGAAAGAAAAATGAAACCATAAAAATAAATATATATATATATATATATATATATATATATATATTTTTTTTTTTTTATTGTATTATTTTATTTCACATTTTTACACAATTTTTCTACAGACCCCATAGCACTCTTTTGCAACCCCAGATTGAAAACAACTACTCTCAGACATTTTTTAACAACATTTGTTGTAAAATTGTTTGTTGCTTCCTGAAGATTATTTATTTATTTATTTTATTTTTTTCAAAACATTTAAATTGCACTGACTGTGTATCTTACATTTGTTACTAAATAAAGATATACATTTAATAAATGTATATGAATAATTAGATTAACTAGTCTTAGAATATAATTTTTTTTAGAATTAAATCAGATATTATGTAAAATAAAGAAAAAAATACTAATGCAGAAATGAGAATTTCTGTGACATTTTGGCCCCAAGCTTTGCTACATTTCTGACTATATACTAATAAACTCTTGCATGTCTTAAACCACTTTACAAATCGATCTCTCTCTAGTTTAATGCATGTTGGTAGCACTCACACGTTCTTGCTTTCCTCTTTGTCTGTGTATATTTCTATCTATCTTTTATCCTACTCTAGGGTGACCATATGTGCCATTTTCCCAGGACGCGTCCTGGCCAGGATTTCTATATTGCCTAAAATATCTAGGTTTTGGCTTTGTTTGCATGTGCAGACCGATCGGTGTATGACATCAAAATACCATACAGACGGTTCCTTATGCTTTCAAAATGCTCTCGAGGTATTTTGATGTCATACACAGATCGGTCTGCACACGCAAACAAAGCCAAAACCTAGATATTTTAGGCAATATAGAAATCCTGGCCAGGACGAGTCCTGGGAAAATGGCACGTATGGTCACCCTATCCTACTCTTTTCTCTGACTTTCACCTTTATCTGTTTGATTGCTGTCATTTTTGTCTCTTTATCTTTCTCTTCTCCTGTCCCTTCTCTCTTGTCTTGTCGTCATGTTTCAAACGCTGCAGGACTGAGATGGAGTTGTATGCCAGTCTCCCGCGGAGGTACTCCACACTTCAAGCTCTGCTGTCTTGCTCTGCTGTCTTTGCTCATCTAATGTCTCATTCTGCTAAGATAACCTGTGCTCTTGAAACAGTGATGATTTTAGTGGACTGTTTTTAAGCTGACAAATTTCTGTTGTAATGTTTTTATAGTGTAATAATTTGCATTTAAAGCAATTCTTCACCTAAAAATTTAAATTTACTGAAAATGTACTCACCCTCGGATCATCCAAGATGTAGATGAGTTTGTTTCTTCATCAGAACAGATTTGGAGAAATGTAGCATTATATCACATGCTCACCAATGGATGCTCTGCAAGACATTAACTGATGAACTGGAGTGGTGTGGATTATTGTGATGTTTTTTATCAGCTGTCATTCTGACGGCACCCATTCACTGCAGAGGATCCATTGCTGAGCAAGTGATGTAATGCTACATTTCTCCAAAT